TGATGAATAAATAATTCTATATGATTTCATTGTTATTTACAAAAAAATTCTTGTCTTCACGTTATATAAACTTAATAGTATCATGTTTAGAAATGTATCAAGATAGAAATATCATCAAAAAAGATGTAAGATTTTCTATTCGAAAAACCTACGAAGATTTTATTTCAAACTATTCACCTTGGTTTCATGTAACTGTATATTACAGCATCCTGACAAACTACGTAAGGGACGTACTTTTTTGAATGACTCCTGACAGACTCATTGATCCGTGTCTAACTATGTATAAAGTGGAACAGACGGATGAGACCAAAAAATATCTAAGTTTTAGTTAAAAATTTCAAAAAATAGGAATTTCAACCGAAACATGAATATTTTTCGATCTGATCCATCTGTTCAGCTTTATGCACAGTTAGATGAAGCTAAGTTGACCAATTCACAATAAAAAGTTTTATAAATTTTTCATAGAGAAAAATGATTATAATTTTCATTGACACTTCTATTTGAATACATTTATAGTTATGCTCTTCGTTGACACATCATATTTATTCAATTGATTGTAAAATTTATTGAATTAAGGGCAACAAAAAAAAAACTTTTATGAATTAAAATTTGAAATAAAGAAGATTCTTATTAATTAATTTTATTAATACTACTTCAAAATTTAAGAATAACACCCAACTGAATAGATATTACTAATAAAAAATGATTTCAAATTATAAGAAATACGAAATCATTGATGATTGTCAATCGAAGGACATTTACATCAACGTCCTAAAAAAAATACAACGTGTCACAATAGAAATTGAACAATCTAGTGAAAATTGAAACCCATATATATATAAATAGATATATGCATGGAGTATTGTTTAAATGACTAAATACATAAGGATATTCATTTCTAAATAATAAAATCAAGTTCATTTTATTAACAAAAAAAAAAAAAAAAGAAATAAGTTATTACATAGAATAGTTGAGTAAATATAGAATAAAAATATTTCAAATCAATACGTATGTGTTATTTTCTTTATTTGCATTTAAATATAGTTGAATATTCTAAAAACTTGTTGGAATTCGACAATAATTCAAAGTAAATTTAAACTCATTTTTTTAAATTTTCGAAATAAAGTTCCTATGAATGTCATTGATATTCCATTAGACTATGATGATTGTTAAAATTTTCGATAATATTTCATTTTTAAAATTTTACATTATGAAACCGATTTTAAACGAAAACTATAACCAATATAAAATATATATGAAGAATTTTTCATCAACTCTTGAATCTTCTATATTGTAAATTGGATATAAAGACACGCAATTATTATTTTATAGTAGTTATTGACGACAATACAGATCGAAGGACATTCATTATTTTACCTGTATGCCTGTCTTTGTAGATTTCATCGAAACTCGTCTTATTCTGAGTTAGGTAACAAAAAGAAAAATGAAGAAAACAGAATAAACGAGAAAAGAGAACAGAAACCACGACTCTCACGATCGTCATTTTCTCTTCCTTCCATTCTACCAACGTTACAAAAAAAGAAAGAAGAAAACTGAGAGTAAGCAATACTTTTTCGTATAGTATTTGTCATTGAGAAATAACTAAAAGAGCAAGAAATATTCATTCGATCAACTTCAGATTTTTATTTGAATACAAAGTTTTGTTTTCTTTTCATATTTAATCGAAAAAAAAAATATTTGTAGTATTTGTCATATTTCATCCTTACAATACTTTATTAATCATCATCAAACACGTGTAGACATTCCTTTATAGTCCAGTTGGAGAAAGAAAAAGAAGAAAAGACGATTACTGAAATCTCTAGTTTTTCATATTCAAATTAAAAAAAAAAATTTTTAGATTTTTTAATATTAAATGGATTATCCATTTGAACGACGACATCGACGACGACGACGACCTCAATCAGTATCATTGCACGATATCACTTCCTCGAGGGATGATGATGATGATATTGAACAAGAAATTATCGATCGGTATGAATAAAAGAAATATATTCAACAATAAAAAATAAATATTTATATTAGAGCTATGGAAATTGAACGATGTCGAGAAAAAAGTTTACGCCGTCAACTTGAGTATATCGTTTATAATATGAAAGTTTGTTTTTTCTCTCTTATTTGTTTGTATCTAAAGAAATTTTTTTTTTTGAAAGAAATTAGAAAAACGTCGTCATCAACATGAACGATTTCGATCACCAGAATATTATGCCATGCCAACAAATCTTTCGCGTCATCGAAGTTCTGATTCACATATAGTATGAAATATAATTTATTAATGAAAAAGAAAATCTTAAATTGATTATAAATTAGTATCGAGATTCATCATCTGAACGAGTTTATCAAACAAATGATTCAAGTTGTTCAGAAGTAAATTATTTTAAGTCATGTCTTTTTTTTAATTTTGTTTTTCTTTTTTTTATCTTCTATAGACAAAAATTCGATCAAGATCAAGATCAAAAAAATTAGTACCGTGTGAAATAACAATGACTTATCAAGGAATTAAAAGTCAAAGACATGGTGATGAAATAATGGTTTTACAAGAAAATATAATTGTTTTTAAAGGATTTCTTCGACCACAAGGTTTTTTATTTCAATAGAAAATTTTCTTTTGAATATGTTCACTTTTATTTTTTCGTTAAGAAACATTTACATTTAAATTTAAACGTCATTATCGTCAATTAATTTTAAAATTAGAGTTTTTTATTAATGAACTTTTTGAATGTTGTTTATCAATTGATTGTGAACGACAACAAATCGATGAAAAAAATGATCTTTTTCAATTAGAAGCTATACAAACATATGAATTAAATCACAAGTTTATTGAAATTCATTTTTTTTTTTTCGTTTTTGAGATAATTTTATATTTTTATTTGATTAGATATCGAACAAATGATGAAGAACAATTGAGTAGTGAAACAGAGAAATCAGTAAAATAAATTTAAATATTCTTATTAAAATTATTAAAATTATTTATATCTAGAATTCTATTGATCATTGTCGACGACACCATCATTATTATAATTCGCGTTCACCAAGTAAATTTGAAATATATTATTTTTTATTTTCTTAAAATTAATTTTTCTTTGTTTTAATAATAAAGTAATAAATGGAAAGAAACGATCAAAATTAGATAATGGTCAACGTCATCATAAATCTAAAACTGAAGAACAATCCTTATCATCAAATCTAGTGAGTTATTCAATAGAAACATTTATTATATTGCTTTATTTAGATATCAAAAGATCAAAATGAAATAACAAGAGAAACTTCATATGTTAAACAACGATCTCAATATAGTTCGAATCCACCTCAAACACTATGTAAGCAAAGATTGATTCTTTTCAACTTTGTGAAAAATTTAAATTAATTTTTCATTTATTGAAAAAACATATATTAAACAAGAATGTCAAAGTTTATGACAAGAAGTATTCAAAAAGTTCTGAAACTATTTTTATTTAAAAACAAAAGAGAAACATTGCTTCATATATAGTCCTCGATCTATAGATGTCATCAACTCTAATCGATTAAGTATTTATGTTCAAACATAGCAATACTTTTTACACTGATAGAAAATTTCAAAATTTGAACATCATTCAATGATAAAGTTTTTACCACTAAAAGATCAATTCCTATAAAATATTCATGAACGTTTGATCGCAATTTATGATAATGCAGATACTCCATTACTCATTACAGTTTCTGAATGTAATTGCACTTTTTAAGATAGATCATTAAGTATTGATGATGATCGTTTATGTGAATAGAGGTGTAAGCCATCCAGCTGGCGCTGCCACGGAATCGGAGATAGTCTTACGAACTTTTAGCCGCCGCCGCTGTGAAAAAGTTAGTTCAGCCGTTGTGTCACCGTCACGAACGAAAATTTTTGATAATAGTACGATGCGCCGCCGCCACTGACATTCTTAGGAGCAAAAACGTTTTTTTTTTGTTGTCAAAGCCACCGCCGATGCAGAAAAACATAGAGTCTAGTAGCCGCCGGCGCCGCTATGGAAAAAAATTGGACCATTAAAACAGCTGCCGCCGTTTGACCCTTCAACTTACACCTCTAATCACAATTCAACAAGTAGTGAATACTTTTAGCATTTCAAATACATAGTGCATGCCATTTTACATGACCAATTACATATGACTAAAAGCTTTAAAACAATGAGTTCGTTGAATCGTCATAGTAGGTAATAGAGAATTGTTATTATAAGTTGCCATCAGATGTTCATAAATATTCGAACGGACTTAATCATCCGAAACACGAGGTTTTGCTCAAGTTTTTCGTTTTTTATCAATATATATGAGATGATCTAAATCGTATTGCTATATCTAGGCATAAATGCTTAACCGATCAGAGTTCATGATGTCTATAGATCAAGGACAATATATGAATTATACACAGACAAGAAAATAAATACACCAGTAATTCTTGTGGTTTTTAAGTAAAATCAGTCTCGGAACTTTTCGAAGAACTTTTCATGCATTGAGTTTTTTTTCATTCTAGCAACAAAACAAATTGAATCAAGACCTGAAGAAACAACGAGAAATCAAAAATCAAAATCAAATCTTACTCAAGTAGATCTTAAAAATTCTTTATTTTTTAAAAAGTAATAAATATTTATGTATATGTATATATCAGGCTCCATCATCAGTATCAAGACAATTAAGTTTAAAAACAACATCTACTAATGAAAAGAGTTTGTACTAAATAAATAATTATTGATTAAAGAAAAATCTTGGAATTCTTTCTTTAGAACCACCTGTTTCTCATTTAATCAGTTCAGATAACGATGATGATAATGATAATGATACATTGGTAAGATAGATATTAGGAAAAAACAAAAGAAAAATTTTCTTCTTGATTAATTCATTTTTTATCTTTTCAGGAAGAAAATATTATCAAAAAACCAAGTTATGGTAAATAAATTCTTTTTTTTCTATTAAAAAAGAAAAAAACTATGAATGAAAATAATTTTTAAAATAAAGGTCCACCTCAATTATCGACACTTGCACGTTCTGATTCTGAATCTATCACAGATGAATTATCAAATAATGTTAAACTAGATGATGAAAAAGTTTCAAAAGAAATAATAAAAAAATCTGAATCATTATCAGAAAAAAAAGATGAAAATGAAGATGAAGAAAGTAATGATGTTGGAAGTTTTATCGGTTTTCTTCAACTTTTGCAATCTATGTCTGGTAGTGCTATTCAAGTTTCATCAACAAATGATGATGGAGATGAAATTCAAAATTTACTTGCTCGACTTGGAATTGTTACTCGTAAGTTTTATTTAATTCATTAATTTATTTTTATTGATAAATATTAAGAAACAAGTTCACGAAAACAAATCATTCAATCAACACCTCGTCTACTTGGAAATGTTGAAAATTTTCTTCTTGTTTATTTGAATTCATCAATACCTGATAATTCATTATTAATTAAATTTCGTTCTCTTGTTAATTATTTAAAAATATTTGATGATGTTGATGATTGTATTGCATTTATAAATAATATATCAAATGAAAAAATTATTTTTATTGTTAGTGATGCATTAGGAGATCCTGTTGTATCACGTATACAAGATCTTCAACAATTATTCGCTATTTATGTTTTATGTAAAACAGCAAAACAAGTTGATAATTGGTCAACCAATCAACCAAAAATTCGTGGAATTTATATGAATATCAATGAAATACTTGAACAAATAAAAAACGCTATTGAAAATGATGAAGAAAATTCATTAACATTTACACATACATTAACAACAGCAAATACAAAAAGTGAACCATCATTTTTAAAGAATCAACTAATAAAAGAAATTTTACTTGATTCTGATGAAATGAATGAAGCAAAAAACGAACTAATTGATTTTTGTCGAGCTGAATATGTTGATAATATAGAACAATTAACATATATTCAACAATTTGAAGATGAATATCGAAAAGAAAATATTCTGGAATTCTTTCGAAAAGAAAAATTTTTATATAAAGTTAGTTAAATGTTCAATGAGACAAAAAAAAAAGAAAAAAATTTCTGAAAAAAAAAATGTTTCTTTTTATTTAGATGTTAAACAAAGGTTTTCGAATACCTGAAGTTGATATATTATTTAAACTTCGTTTATTTATTCAAAATCTTCATCATTATATTATTTCATCATCAAATAATTCTTCAATAAAAACACTTTATCGATCACAATTTGTAACAAATGATGAACTTGATACATTAAAAACATGTGTTGATGATGGTTTAATTGCATTTTCAAATTTTTTTATTGCATCTATTAATTATCCGGAAGAAAATTTAACATCATCATTTCGAAATAATCAACAAGAAGATAAAGGAGAAGAAATTATTTTTCAAATAGATGTATCAAATAGTAATAATTTTATGTCTATTGATAATCAAATATTAGTTACATTTGGTCTTGTTACAAGAATTACACATATTGAAAAAGATAAAAATGAAAAAACTATAATACATTTAAAAACTGTTAGTAGTGATGATCGTCAATTAGAACGAATTATTGAACCAATGAGAAAAGAGACTCGAGCTCCTCATCCATCACTTCGTATTGTTAAATTATTTATGGAACTTGAACAATATTCACAAGCTGCTCAACTTGGACAAGTTTTATTGGCTGATTTACCTAATGCTCGAAAAGATCCTCTTTTAGCTTTAGCACGTATTTATCATTCATTAGGTACAACTTTATATGAAAAAGAAGAATATGATCAAGCATTAGATGTTATTAAAAAATCTCATGAACTTTATGTACGTTTTTTACCTGAAGATGCTCCACAATTATCTCCAACATGGAATAATATGGGTTCAATTTATTTACGACAAGGTAAAACAGATTTAGCATTAGAACATCATGGAAAAGCTTTAGCTATTCAATTAAAATCACCAAGTCCAGATCTTCCATCCATAATATCTTATTCAAATAATATTGGTGGAGTTTATTTAAAATTAGAACGTTACGATGAAGCACTTGTACATTTTAAACGTGCTTTACAAATTGAAGAACAAACATTACCAACAAATCATCCTGAATTAGCTGGAACATATCATCGTATTGGTGGAGTTTATTTTCGTCAAAATAATTATGAAAAAGCACTTGAATATTATGATAAAACATTAGAAATTGAACTTGCTTCTTTACCTGATAATCATCCAACTGTTGCTGTTACATATCATAATCGTGGTACAGCATTTGAAGGTTTAGGAAAATTAGAAGAAGCAGTTGAAAGTGCAGAGAAAGCTGTTGAACGTTTACTTAAAACATTACCAAAAGAACATCCACAAGTACGAATGAATCAAGCTTATGTTGATAGACTTAAACAAAAATTATGGGTTAAACAACTTTTTACTTCGTAATTAGCTTTTTTTTTCAGTCAATGAAAATTTAATTTTTATTGATGATAAACAAAAGTTTTTTTTTTTTCATCGTTTGATTTTTTTTGTGTTTCACGTTCATTGAATGAATTTTAAAATAATAGAAATTCATTATTTGATGTATTTCCCCGATTTTTTTCTATAGTATTCTTCTGATTTTGTATTCGAATTGACAATTAATATTCTAAAACGAAGGCGTAGCTTTCATCTTCGTCCATACACCAAAAAATATTTAGTTCTCATAGTATAATCAAACAATTTGTTTACATCTGTATTCAAAATATAAATATTTAATATTGAACATTACTCTTGTGGCATCCTATACTTCAGAAGTCTATTTTTCAATGTTTATCTTCCAATATCAAGTATAAGTACTTCCTTATCACTCATACAAAAATGACCCTGTTTGGTTAAAATGAAGCGCACATATTCAAGTGTGTTGGGTGTAAGGTGACCTTTGGCATATCATCTATATATGTTAATATATCGAAGACTTTAAAAATTTATGAAAAAAAATTAAAAAGGAGTTTGAAAAAAAAAACAATATAAATAGAGATTCAAAATTATTGAATAGAAATTTGTCAATATTTTAGTAAATAACAAAATCAGAGTAAATAAGTCACTATTAGATCTGCAACCAGAGTGCGGGTACAATGGGTGGCATCCAATTTGGTAATGAATAATGAGATTGTCGGCATTTATATGTTAATCCTTGATATGTTACTAGATCATTAACTACATATGAATAATAAGGTGCCCATTCAAGGATATTTCCTTGATTCGATGTCTTAGTTGTTGTCGTAACAGTTCTAGTAGTAGAAGGCTTAGTTGATGATGATGATGATGTTTTAGTTGTTATCGATGATGATGTACTAGTTGTTACTGGTGGTGGTTGAATACCATTATTTAATGCATTAAATGTTGCGCCAATTAATTCAGCTTGACGATCACTACTTAATTCCCAGAAAAAGGCGCCACCTAAATTATATTGTTTAATATAATTATTCTTGATATTAATTGATTGAACATCATCATAAGTAATCCAAAGACCAGTTGATGGATTGAAAAGAAATGGTACTTTTGATTTATCATCAAAATAACGTTGATTTGATGAAATATAAGATTTTTTTAAATCATCATAATCATAAATACCATTTTCCCAAGTACCAGTTGGAGGTTGACTTGATGCTGTTTGAGAAAATCCATTAAGAGCTGTGCTTGTTACTCCTAAAATAAATATATTTTAATATAAAAAAAGAATAATTTTAAAAATTTTACCTTGCCAACCACGTCCATACAAAGGTAAACCCATAAGAATTTTTGTGGAAGGTGCACCAGCTCTGATATAAGCTTGAATTGCTGCATCACAATTATATTTTGATTTGATGTATGATGGAGCAACATCACTTGCTGTTTCATCATCATTTTTATATAATGGAGCATTATGACCTGTTTTTGTGTCCCAACTACCTAAAAATTAAATTTTAATATTTTCAAATAAATTACAAAAAAGATTTTAATTAGAAAACTAACCATGAAAATCATAAGTCATAACATTGAACCAATCAAGAGATGCAGCCATATGAGATACATCCATATCAGCAATACGTTCAGTACCTGCTCCAGTTCTATAAAGAATGAAAACAAAAAGAAAAAAACAAATTAACATATGACTATTTAAAATCTTTTTTCTTCTACTTACGCTACAGTTAACAAATATTTCTTATTGGGTACAGCATTCAGCTGACGACGAAGTTCTTCTAATAAAGAAACATAATTTTGTTTATCTTCTGGACGATTATTGCCTGATAAACCACCAGAAACAGGATATTCCCTACAATTACAACATATCATTCTTCTTTATAAAAATTTTTTTTTTTTTCATAAATACATTGTTCAAATTTTTAATAATTTTCCACAATTTGAAAGTTCTTAGTATGAAAATTCTTTTTTTTTTTTTGTAATTTTTATTAATTGATTTACTCACCAATCTATATCAACGCCATCAAAACCATATTTCTGAATGAATTCAACACATGAAGCAGCAAATATCGATCGACTTTGATCAGTTAGAGCTATATTCGAAAATTTGTCTGACCATGTCTATTATAATAAATTATATATTTTATTTGAAAAAAAGTTAAAAAAAAAGAAGAAAAAACACCTACCCAACCACCAACAGAAATAAGTGTACGTAAATGTGGATATTTTGCTTTCAATTTAATTAATTGATTAAAATTACCACGTAATGGTTGATCCCATGTATCTCCAGGAAATGCCTTCTCTATGTCTGCCCATGAATCACCAAGAGCAATACGTCCATCCGAACCAATATTTGCAAATGCATAATTTATATGTGTTATTTTATCTGCTGGTATATCAGCAATAAAATATGAACGTCCATATGTTGACCATGCAGTAAAATATGCAAGAATAATTGCACTAGCTGCCATCGCTTTGCTTTTCTTGTTTTTAGTTTTATTCTAAAATCATACTCTTTATATAGATATGAGCACACAAAGGGAATATCCATAATAATGATAAATAAGATAGAAGTAAAATCATCAAGTGCCATGAGTAATATGGGAAAAGGCCCAGCAATATGGTACAAGAAAAAAGAAAACTTCATGATATATAATGAAGAACGCAATAGGGGAAAATAAATATGACACAATGGAGAGAAAAGAAAAACAAAAAAAGCGCTCTAAGAGAAGGATTCAGTCGAATGAATATGTCACGAGGAACATTTCAGTGACCTCATAAGAACAACAGGGAAAAATATCACAATTTCAATATCGAAAAAGAACCACTTACACATTGTTTAAACATGTAATTTAGTTTTCGCAATAATCATATTTCAATAGCACATAATATTGTATTTATTAACATATATAGATACTTGTGACTATGATTCTTCCAAGCTCGTAGCCAGGAATTTTTTAAGAAGGGAGCCCGAATCCAATTTTTTTTCTAAAGTTGCAAAGAAATTTCTCGTACGATTTTCAATATTGATACTCTCGTTCTTAACATCTTCGATGCAGCTTTTTCGTTTTGTTTCATATTTCTTTCTGTTTTCTTTTATTAAATTTCAAAAACAAAAACACTTATTTTTCAGAAATGATCGTCAGTTAATATCCACAAACAACAAAAGAAAAAACAAGCACTAGTTAAATTTAATTGATCGTTTGTGTCAAGCGAAATTCTCGACAATTTGAATAGTATCTTCATCATCATTGATAATTGACTGGTGTATATTCAACATACAACAACAGACGAGGGGAAAATTCATAGAACAAAAGAAAAGAAAAAGCCCATATAAAGGAGAGAACGAAAGGATAAATTCATAAGGCGTGGCAATCGAAGAAAAAAGTAACAATATGAATATGGAAAGAAACGTAACGAAGACACAAAGGATCTGTCACTACCTAACAGGAACGAATAAAATAATAGTGGTACTTTAACTACGAATCACCTTCATTCATAGTAATTTCTTTCACAAGGCTGTCCTTCTGAGCGCAGATCCCATAAAGATTCAGTAATAAGTGTTACAGGAGAAAAGGCTAGGTGGGGGCCCGGGCTCCTCCGGCTTCCCCTTGCCTACGGGCCTGAATTCTTCTCATGAGAACACTGGATAGAATCATAGTGTGAAAACTCTCCGCAATTTCTTCGATTTCTTTCAGAATTAAATCAGTTCTGTTTGTAAACATCAAGTCTTTTTGAAATTTTTCGATTAATCGAAAAAAGTGTAGAGTAATCATTTTGAAGCTGACGAAGACAAAATAAATTGTTTCCTCAGTTTGTAAGTAAATTAATTTAGGAAGTGCTCGTTTTGATCTTAAGAGATGACCCATATAGTTATCGAAGATATTCATATATCGGAAAAGATGGGGGTAAACTGATTTCGAATCCATATAATCCGTTTTATGATTTCTCTGGGAAACGATCACAAAAAAAAGCAACTATTCCTGAGGGAACTCTAAACTACGTCTAAATCTTGTATAACACATCCAATGTTATACCGATTTCTCAAATACGTAATTTTATATATTTTTTCTCTATATATATTTTCCTATCAGCTTTGAAAAATTAGTCACAAGCCTTAAGATCTATGAAAATCGAAAAACTAAAATAATGCTCCAATAATATCCTTGGAAAAAGCATCGGCCCGCGTAACCAACCTTTTATATCAGCGTCGCGGCGTGGGGGCGCGAAGCGCCCCCCGCAGAGCCGCGACCAATGCTCGTCTCTGTGTACACAGTGAGGACTATACTTATCCCACGTTTTGGAAGGACTGAAAAGGAAAAACCACGATCTGCCACTGCCAAGTTTGCATCATCTACAGATATATAACACGTAATCGGATGAGTTTTTAGTACACTAACTGAAACAAGTATTTGATGCACGCTAGGCATCGTGTTTTTTTTGAACTGACACAGCAATTCAAGTAGTTCCCTGTGGTTCCACTTTAGAGACTCATGAATTATCTATAGGATCGCTATAGCACTCTTGATTCTATCTATAGTACTTAAAAAAGTATAAAGGATATAACATAATAAAAAAAAAGTATAGAAAAAAATGCGGAAAAAGGACGTAAACGTAAAATATAAAAGAAGAGTATCGAAATTTTTTATCGTTTCCGAGAGAAACGATAAACCGGATGGACTCAACCTCCTAACTCAGAAAATCACTCTAACGGCGCAGGGAACTTTTTGTTTCTCGGGTGACTGCAATGGTCCGATTTATGGCTTCAAAAATCAATTTTCCAGTCTCTCTGAAGCCAAGGAAGTACCGAGGATCGACACAACGTATCTAATACAAACCAAATTTATGTGTTTTTGTGTATCTCCGCATTTCGCTGCGAATTAGAACTGACTCGGAAAAAAAATGATGGATTTGGATGAGAAAAACGCGCTATCTTTTTTCCATGAGCTCATTTATGTTTGTTTTAATGCAGACGCGGGCCGAAGCGCCGAGTCGAATTTGTATGGTAAATGTAAAGTTTTGAATTCTACCTGATAATATGAAAAATATGGGAAAAATTGGAGGAACCAAGTTAAAAATTCGAAATGTAATATAGATAGCCCATTTTCCCCTGATTTTCTTCATATTTCCTTAATTTGACTATGAGCCACTGGTGGAACAGGTTGAAACATCACTGTGATGTGTAGTTTCACCTGCTATTTAGCGTGCTGTTATGTCGAAGAACAGAAAAATGGTCAAATGGCATAAAATTAAGAGGATATCAATTAATGCTCTGTACCGTTTTTCTGTTCAGCACGAATGTAGGTGAGGGTGGATGAGGTGTACATGTGCGAAGATGTGCATCAAGAGAAGACTCTCATAACCACAAGTACGCACAGCTAGACCGACACACACGCCCAAAAACTTCACCCAATCGCACTCAACTACCCTACAAACCTCCTCCACGACACTTGAAAGCATTAAAAACGTCTCTGATAGTGTCGAAATCAGTTAGTGTAATGCCTACATACTTTCGCTTTCGATTCGTGAATGCTATCATCAATTGATAGACGATTTGTTAGAACATCAATTTTAATCTCATGTGATGTAGTTGGCCCACAAATACATGCTTCCTGACACAAACATAAGAGACCGAATTTCATCGCCGAAACGGCAGCAACAGCAGCCGTTCGTAAGTGAATTAAACAACTGATATCATGGCGGTTATTGTAAATTGATGCATAGAATGAAAAGCTCAAAGCGTTAGCGCCAAATTTTGTGTTGCCTGGATTGATTGGAATCCCTAAAAATGACATAAAATAAATGTTTAAAATCGTTGGTCAAGATTAATTTACCATTTGCATCAATTTTTACCAAAGAAGATTCGGTGACTTCATGAAACCCTAAACCGCGAGGCTTGATAAGAAATTGATCAGTACTAGTATTGATTCGTGCCTTTTAAGCATATTCTTTGACAATTTTTCTGAGCTAGCAATGGATTTCGATTAGACTTACCGATACATGGTTATAAATTCTTCCGGAATTCCAACCATACAGATCAATAACACGGTGAAGCGAAGCCAATTTACATCGTAACTGATGTTCATCGTTGATATATGATTGGCTTTCTACCTCGCGATTGTCATCTATTTCCAGAACCAGACCTTGAAACAAACGCAGTGAAAAAATTCAATCTATCTTTCATTCCTACGTTTTCAACTCAAGGGGGAAATAGCGGACTCCAGGATTCCGAGACTCCAGTGGACTCCGACGGACTCTAGTGGACTCCGATGGACTCCAATGGATTCCATTGGACTCCAAATAAATTTTGGAATCCTGGAGTTCTCAATAATAGAATATTGCGTAAGATAAGTACTCATCTAATTAACACTAATTGAGTTGAGTACTCATCTAATTAACACTAATTAAGTTGAGTACTCACCTAATTAGCACTAATTAAGTTGAGTACTCACCTAATTAACACTAATTAAGTTGAGCACTAAGTTGAACTCAACTAAGTACTCAACTAATTAGTATGTATTTAACTTGTGATAGATGCAGAAAAAAATGTAATATTCTATTTTTGAGGACTCCGGGACTCCAGGACTTGACTGAACTCCATTGGACTCCACTGTACTCCACTGGATTGGAGTCCGGTATTTCCCCCTTGTTTCAACTGCTATCATCGATTTTCGTCAATATCAAAAATACATTGGCGAAATAACCCAAGAAATTCTTAGTTTGGATTCGTTCATGAAATTGTGAGATCGAAAGTTAGATATAACGTTCGATGGATTCATATAATATCATCAGAGGCACAAAAGCTTTCACTAGAATCACTACTAGCCATTGCAGGAGAGAGACGACACCAAGGGGGAAAAGGCGATACTCCATCTACTCCAAAAAAAAATTTGGAGTACAGCGGAGTACGATCGGAGTACAGTGGAGTAAGGTTGGAGTACGACTGGAGTAGAGTGGAGTATCACTGGAGTACAAGTGGAGTACAGTGGAGTAGGGTTAGAGTACGACTGGAGTAGAATGGAGTACCATCGAAGTACAGTGGAGCAAGATCGGAGTACGAATGAAGTGCAGTGGAGTATGGTTGGAGTACGACTGGAGTGACGTACAAATGGAGTACCGTTGAATACTGATTGCTTCTCATACTGATATCAACGTTAAGCGTTAACAAGTTGTTATGCAAAATATGATTATAATTCTTTCAATACCAGTGTAAACGATAATCTATTAATACAGTGAAAAGTTTTATAACTGTCTTTCTGCTACTCATGTCAATTATCAGTGTACCAGCTATCTACGAATAATAAGTCACGTCAGTATTTCGTTTTTAAACAATATGCTCTGTGATACTCATGTCTGAAAATATTCTTTTTCGTCATTACGTTTCATGTATTCCAAGACTTATAAAAATAAGTTTTAAATTAAATTTTTCCAATAAAGCAATGTAGTTGATTTGATAGAACTGTTCAATAAA